TTTTCGATACTAAATTTTATTAAAACAAAATGTTGAAATCAGCTTCATATAGAAACAGTGTCATCGTTAATTAAGAAAGAGATGTTCTTAAATATCATAACTTTGCGACACTCACATATTGACTAGATTTGACTATTTATTTTATTATATGTATTTTAATTTTAATTATTTGTTTATGAAAAAATATAGTTTATTCCTTAACAAACACTAAATGAAAATAAGTTTAATCCTTGAACATTACAAACAAATCGACAAACTTTCGTAAAAATTTCGAACTTTCTATTTCACTTTTATCTCTTAATATTTTGCAGTTTTTTAGCTCATTCAATTTTAGTCCAATAAAGTGCAAATTTAAAGTAGCTGTGATTTACAGTTGATGTATGGCATATTATCTAAGTATGTTCGTCGATTTTTCTAATGAAGAAAATGAGCAACGCCTTCATCAAAAAAAAAAAAAATATTAAAAATCAACGATAAGTCGCAGCTATGTATTTTAAACTTGCGCCTTATTTGAATTGATCGGGCTACAAAACTGCATACTCAAAATATGTATTTATATCAAATCTAATTAAAAAGCTTTTCGAAAGTTTGTTGATTTTGTTAATGTTGCGCAAAGATTAAACCTTGGATTTATACGGGTTTTGTTAAAATGCATTTGTATAAACAAATAATTAAAATTATACAATTTTAAAATAAATGGCCAATCTAGTTAACATGTATAAAGTTTTGATAAGCACTTGAAATGTCAAGTTTTAGTACTGAATTCAAAGAAGATGTCTCTTTTATCCATTCCTAATAACTTAAAAAAACTTGTTTGTTAAGAAGTGTATCTTAAAATATGTACCTTGACATTTATGTTAAAAGTGTAAAATATGTAAATGTACCTACATACATCAACTTTCCCGTGAATACCATCAAAGCATTGGTCTTGAAGGGAATCTATGTATGCACGCATGCATATGAGCAAATTAAAAAGTCGATGCAATTTACAGTCGAAAAGTACAGTTTTTGTATATATTATAGATTATTTCCCAACACTGTGGGGAACTAAGCAAAATGACCTAGTGCATTTCGTAAATATTCAAATACATAATCCACCAACCGATAATTTTATATATTATTTCTGAAAGCTTGTAAAACCAATTTTGAATTACATGACCCACTCCGTTGCTTATGCCAGGATTTTAACTCTCATTCCAGCACGTTTGATATATCAGATCCGCTTTTCAGCATTAAGAAAGCGATACTCTCCTCTCTCAATAAGTGAATTATTGACATAAATACATAAAATCAGCTGATGAATTTAGTTCTGTAGCTGAACAGTTTTAGATCTCGACACTTAACAAACTCCTGCCTATCGGCACAAAAATTTAAAATATTGGTTCCGTACGTCATGCGGACTGCGCCCCTCGTGCGGATGGGCGGGAATGGAGGGTAAAAACCGTTGGGATTATTATTATTAAAAGACAATTTGTCATCAGTCTGAAATAAAAAATTATAAATCGGAAGGGTAAAATAGTATTGTGTTATTGATTCAAAAATAAAGTTTCAAGGGGGGCGGATCTATCCCCCCAAATCCCCCCCTGGCTACGCCACTGGGTTTGAGATATATTTTCGGCTCCCCGAATACCGCAGTCTTCATCAAGCGGAAGTATCAGCCGTATAGCATTCTAATGTTATTATTTATTATAATTTTCAATGTGCGTAACTTTAAGAATTGCCTTTGGCTTCATCAGCCGATGAAAATAATACACTTTGAGTTGACATTTTAATTTAACTTTTGGTACAATTCATCAGCTTAAAAGAAAAATATGAACAATAAAATAACAGCAACATTTCTGCTTACTAAAGCAGGATACCAAAGCCAAAACTATATACTAATCATTTATGCAAAAGCGTTGTGCATATGACAACTGTCACATTGTAATACATAGTCAACTACACACACACTTGCGAACTGTTACTAAACTCCTGCAAAAATCGTTGGACCATGTAGTCTATTTGTGGTAAATTGGAGTACTTACAAAAGTGTTCCTCTGTCATGCTGTAGCGGACCAACTCGTGTCTCTGCGCCAGCTTATTGTTTGTTATCCGATCACTGATCGTGTTTTAACGAAATGATATTGAAGTTGAGCACTTGAAAGCACATTTGCATGTCTGGCTGTAGCTGAACGTGCAGAGATGCTCGCTGTTAGTTCTTAGCTCCCAGTATGTTCGGGTTCGAATGCCGTCAGAGGCAACATGTACTTTTTAATTTTTGTCTTGGTTTTTATTAATTTCGAAAAAACATTTGAGAAGTGAAGAACAAAAGCGTGTACAAACGAAAAAATATAACAACAATGCCATTGTTAATATGTTGGAGTAGTTTTGTGCTACTCTGATGTAATGCAGGGATGGAGTATACGGTCCTGCCCTAGGACATCGCCATGTTAATTGGACCATATTTTGTATATGAATTGTGGTTAATTTTGGAGTACTCCTTGGTCCTTAGGGAGTAATCTTTACACGCATGCATGGAGTAGTCGCGATTTTTGCAGGGACATTGCATTTGGCATTGTTTTACTGGGAAAAGCATTTCAAGCAGAAAAAAATGTTGACGAGGGGAGAGTGCATGCATTAATACATACCTTTATATACCTACAGAGATCAAGATAATGGAAGCGTAGCATAATGGACGCAACTGTTTGTTGCGCGCATTTCTTGATTGAAATGTTCAAGGTAAGTATGTACGTATGTATGTATGTAACTAACCGCGCCAACCAACCAGGCAAATACTTAAACTTCCTTTATCCACACTTCAATTGCATTTTGTACCATTATACGAATAAATAAGTGCATTGTGTATGCAGTGTGAATGTCCTTGCCATGTAGCAACGTTTGTATGTATATAAATGTATATGTTTTGTATTTGTTTCGCATGTAAGGCATCATGGATTTTTGTGCACTGTGCTCTATTTTATTGTTCAACTATTGTGGTTGGTTGGTTTCTTAACTCCCCAAGAGATGGCATTGTTTCAACTTTTAATGAGCAAAAGTTCTTTGCCTGCTGCTGCTCATTTCCTTCATTTCACTTGTTGTATGTAGCGACGTTCCGATACCATCAAAGTATGGATACCTATTTAAATGGGTTTACTCAAATCGTTATTTCGATACAACTTATATGAGTAAACCGAAAGTATCGATACCTACTTAAATCGATAATATTCCATCCTTTTATAAGCAACAAAGCAAAAGTCATTTTCCGGCGTTTATCTGTGGCATAACCTTTTGTGTTATGCGCTTTACAGGCAAAGTCTGAAAAGTCACGACGCATGGCGACACATTATATATGACACGGCCTAAATAACTTACTAACTTTAAACACTTTTGGTTTTTAATTTTTATTATTTCGTTGAACATGAAAGAAAAATAAATAGCAATTTGTATTGTATTTACAACACAGTGAGTGGAAGATCAACCTATGTCGACAGCCAGTTCTAAAATGACTTTTCTCAGAAAAGTTTTCAAAAACGCCCCATTTCAGAAATTGAGTGAAAAAGCCCTATCAGAAAACTTTTTAAGAACACCCTTTTTCAGAATTCGTTTTAAAAACGCCATATCTCAGCTGCCGATTCAAAAACCCCCTATCTCAACATATCTTCAGTTGAGATAGGACGTTTTTGAACCAAATTCTGAAATAGGGCGTTCTTGAAGTTCTCTGAGAAAAAGCGTTTTCGAACTGGCTGCCGAGATAGATCGATCTTCCACTTAAGTGTCGATATGTATATTCATTCATTAGTAACGTTAGAGGTAATAAAATTACTTAAAGAAAAAATTCAACCTTTGAAAGGTTCCCACAAAACTTTACGGCTTTAAAGCACTGCTTTGCACTTTGCTGTGGTATCACTAACTTTGTAAAAATATATCCATACTTTAGATTTTGGCGGTGTGATTGCTTAAAGCAGTTATTTTCATAACAACGACGCTGTGGAAAGTTTCTTCCATAGAAAAAATATGGCCGACATGATATGGCACTTGGTCAAATCGATTCGATACAAGTACTTTTCTTTCGATACCAAGTAGGTATCGAAACAACGATTCGAGTAAAAAAAGTAGTTGGTATCGAAACAGAAGTATCGAGTACATACTCGTATTTACTTGTATCGGAACATCCCTAGTTGCATGTATTTAGACGCTGATTGAAATGTTGTTTGTTGGCAATCAAAGAAATGGCATGCATTTTCAATTTTGCTTATTCGCTTGCATTAATCTATTGTTTAAATACTTGCAACAACAACTTAAAATGCACTAGTATTACTCTTCTTTTGCGCAGATTTTGATGCAGTTTGCTTCCACAGATATTCCATTCATAAAAAGTTTTATTTTGCTAATTATTTAAGTTACTCATAAATAGCTCAGTAAGAGTTGGAGATTTACTAATGCAACCACAAATAACACTGCCGTTCAATACGGATACCTCTAACGAATATAAATTGTAAACAACTCTCAGCACAAGAATTTGTAAATTCAGTATTATCTAGATATTGGGTTTTATAACAAATTTTGGTAGGCTACATTTTTGGTGTTTCCATACCATTTCCACGAAAAGTTGTTTTTCTCATATATAATATATGGAAAACTTTGAGCGACCTCGAAATATTTTTTGATTTCAAAATACAAAAAAAGGGGTATATTTTTTTGATATAGAACAATTCTAGGGGTGAGAGCATTAAAATTCCTGCTTTACTTATTTTGGACCACCCTACATTGTACAAAGTATATCCGAATGAGATAGTAGTGCACACTACTACTACAGCCCTGTTCTGCAATCCGAGTCGGAAGCCCATCGGAATTCAATTCCGACTCGGAATTGAAATGGTATTCCACAATCCGATCGGAACTTTTGTTTCGAAGTTAATATCGAATCCGATTGTGTAAAAAAAGGAACAAACCTCCGATCTGTCAACTTTGTTTTGAAGTGTATCAATTTCATTTGGATAAATAAAACCGAGAAAATAAACATGAGTTCAATTGTTTTATTGGCGGTTTTGCTGAATAGTGAGCAGCAAACATCTGAAAAAGTGAAGCGAAAAATTTTGCGCGATCACAGCAATCCCATGGAATTACCGGACTCAGCGTTAGTAGTATAAAAACTATACTGTACTAACGCCATTTCAAACTATTAATTTATATTTTACAGCTTTATTGCACTCTATAGAATAAGTAAACAAGCGTTCCTCATGATTTTTACAGACTTGCAGCCTTTTGTACAAAGAAGCTCCATTCCCGCAGTGTTGAAATTGGCAGCAACGTTGCGATTCCTCGCCGAAGCCTCGCTTTGGGAAGGAGCACCGTCTCCAAGATAATTTCAGAAATAATTACGCTCATGGAGCGGAGACTTTGCTCAAAATGGATAAAATTGTTCATGCCTTAGCAAGAGAAAAGAGCCGCCAAAAGTTCTTTCTACGAACAATTTGGTATTCCGGGTGTGATTGGATGTATTGACGGCACGCACATCAAGCTATTGCAACCACAAGACGGGTCTGCTTTTTTTTAACCGAAAAGGAAATTTTAGCATTAATGAAATGGTTGTTATTTGCCACAATTACTGGATTTAATATAAAAAAAAGTTTTCGTAAAATGTGTTTCTTATTTATTTCAGATTTGCGCTCATAGTATGGTTATTAGAGCTATTGATGCTTGTCATCCCGGTTCTAGCCATGACTCCTTTATATGGAGCATGAGCAATGCAAGACAGTTAGTCATGACGAAGTATCGAGATGGTGATCACAATTCGTGGTTATTGGGCGATGCCGGGTATGCTCTGGAACCTTTTCTATTAACACCATATAGAAAACCAAAACCACGGTCTATACAACACGCGTTTAACAAAACACATTCTTCGGCACGTAATATAGTTGAACGAACAATTGGGGTTCTTAAAACTCGTTTTCGTTGTTTATTAGGAACCTTGCAGTACAAACCAAAAAAGGTTGTGAAAATAATTAACGTATGTGTTGCCTTGCATAATATTTGTCGCCACTATAATCTTGAATATGAGTATGATGAACCTGAAGAAAACGCCAGCGAAGTAGATAGTGAAGTAGATAGATTTGTACTAACAGACATTAACTTCCAAAGTGAAGCACAAAGAATTAGAGACGGAGTTGCGAATAATATTATATAATATTTTAATAAAAACAAGTATATTTAATAAAAACCAGTACTGTAATTATAAATGAACAATTTTCATATGTCTGGATTTACTTCCACGAAATCCAACATATTTTTGCTTTGTAGTAATTACCACTTTTATTTTCTCTACTTAAATTCTTTGCTGTTCGCTGACTATAACATTTTTTCTTTGACCGTTAACAGTTATATTTTTGTTTTTCGTTTTGATTATTTTCTATTCCACTGGCTTTTAGCTGATCGGAACATTTCCGATAATCGGATTGCAGAACATCAAATTTCCGATAGAATTCCGATTCGAAGTGGATCGAAATGTAGAACAAGGTGGAACACCAACAATCGGAAACAAATCCGATTCCGATTCGAATCGGATTGCAGAACAGGGCATACTTACGTATGCAACTTTAAGTAGTATGCAGATACATATTTGAATGTTTTTGTATTTGGCAAAGTTTGACATTTTATGGCATCGATTTCCGTTGCATTTTAATTAAATGGAAGTACGTATTTGCATTTGCATAGAGCAAATATATGCACATATTTTACATGTTCATGTGTTGTAGTACAAAAGTACGGAAATAGTTATTAAATCAATAAAATATGTAAATAAAACCCCTTAGGTGTTGCATTTAAGAGAGAGTAGTGCTTACATTTTTGAATTAAACTTTTTACCACGACAAATGTATTTACATACTCACTAAAATATAAAAAATAAAATATTAAAATTTATGGCAGGCAGGGTTGTATGAAATTGGGCCGATTTCGTTTATTTTTATTTTAAACGAAGAAGGAATTTTCTTCATAAAATGTTTGTTATAAATGTCTTAATTTTAAGTGTGAAGTTTTATTCGCAAATTTAGAAAATAAGAAATTGTTTCACTGTTAAGACACTTCAGATGCGTTTGTGTTTGTATATAGTGCCAACAAACAGAATAAATATTACATGTAGATATTGTCTTCCCAGATAGCGCATATTCAATTCTGCCTAAATTACAAAACATCATTTTTGCCCACTCCCAAAGGTTTAAAGTAAGGGAAAAATTGATGTTTTCAAGTACTATGTACACATATGTATGTATTTTTTTAAACAAACTTTTATGCTGAGGACTTATTTAAATTCCAAAAAACCGAATGCCAACTTGAATTAAAGGAACCAACACTGAAGTGAGTCAAAATGAAAATAAAAGAGCACTAATTTCTATGTGAAGCAAAACTCTCTGGGAATCCTACGAGATATTTGCCGCTCATATGACCTGTCATCTAAATGGGTGATCTGCAGTCTTTTGGCATCATATTTTACATCAGAATTGAAGGGATTTCTGAAAAATCTGACCAGTTCTTTTGTGTAACTGTAATTTTGCATCCCTTGTCAACATATGGCCTCGGTTGATGTTAACTTAAGGTCGTTGTTTTACTGCCTTAAAATTTAAGGAAAAATTTAACAGCGTCTTTTATGTGTACTGGTTTCTATTTGAGTGTATACACTCATATATATACACTCATGTATATACTCAATATATTGAGAATCGGTCAGTCTGAAAAGGCCTTCTAGGGAAGACAATAGGTTTGTTCGTCGAAAATCTAGCGAGGATTATCACTCAAGATATCAGATAGTAAGAAAAAATACTCCCAAATTCTCTCTTGTGTAGAGAAACTTGTAAATTTCTGTACGAACGTAAATTTGCAAGTTTTTCTGCCAGCTAGTGTTCACGGTTGCATTTCAAACAAAAGAAATTTAACGAACTTGTTTATTCAAATTATCGTCGACAAAAAATCCAACCATGTGCCACAATCATATGTTTTTCCTAATTGCAAATTCTTGTTATCAAAATTTTTTCCGGCTCGAATTTGTAACTTCTCTCCAAGAAATAGTGTTTTTACTCGTGATTTATTTAAATAAAACATGTGAAGTTTAGTTGAAACATTTTAGCCGTTTTTAACCGGTTTTATTTGCCAATTTAGCCGGTTCGTCCAAAAAGTTCTGGCAACACTGCTGCGAACGCTAACTATCGCCAAACAGGGCCGCTGTTACCGTTGCCACAATCAGGACCCGCTGCTACTGTCTTCATCACTGGGGCCGCCGCAATTATCGTCGCCCCAGGCCGCCGCTACTACCCGTCACGAGTACGGTAATCGCTACTGCGAACGTCAACCATCGGAGTCCAGGACCGCTGTCACCGTCGTAGTTAAAAGAGGCCGCATTCGGCCTTCACCACAATCAGGGCCGCATACAACACCACTGCGGGAGGTCGATGCCGCCCTCATCATTATATGGGCCACTGCCAACGTCACCGCTGAGGCCGCCACCACCACTGCAAGAGAACTGCAGGCAGTAGGGGTAGGTAAATTCGATATTCGAAGCTTCGATATTCGAATTTTAATCGAATTTTAGCTCTAAAATGGCGAATTTTTGAAATCAAACTTTGTATTGCTAAAATTCGGATAAAACCGAATTTTTCTAGAAAAAATCGAATTTCATCTTTATTTCCAAAAAAATCAACTCTTCAACTTTCTTCTTTCTGACTAAATTTGCCATCAGTGTGTGTGGCACTCCATTTGTCTTAGAGATGCAAGTAAAAAAAAAATACATGATATTCGAACTGATGCATCGGGACAAAAAATCGGTGCCTAGAAGGAACTGTTATTCCAAACTCAAATTTAAAAATTTTGTATGTAAAAAACTAGTTTTTTGTTAATTTTTTATTTTAAACGTTTAGAGGCTTTTACGTTGGTGGCATAAAGCCTTTACCTGGGAAGACCCCTAGTAAAATTTCCCGGAGAATAATTTTCTAAAATATATCATTCCTCTAACGACCTTCCAAATTTGCTTTTTGCGGGATTTCTTGAAGTAAGGGTCAAAATGAGCCTTTTAGGCGCGAGCTAATGGGTTAAAATGTTCTACAAAAATATTTCCCATGAAATTTTGGCTGGCTTCCAAAACGTCAACTGCCTTACATACGAACAAAGTATAATATTCCATAACGCCGAACTTCAAAATATTGACAATGTATACTTTTCCAAAACGCATCGTTATAGCAATCAGCGCATCAGAAACAAAGTTGATGCTTCGTTTGTTATTGGTTACCATTTGTGTTTAAAAAATGGAAAATTCAGAAAAATTGTTCATTGCTATATGGAATATTCAAAATGTGCAACGTATTTGGTTGCAATGTGTCGCAACTCTGCATATACAAACAGTTTGAATACCGCAGTATAACAGTATCCAAACATTGTATTGATACGTTCTGGAAGTCAGCCTTTATTATATATGTCTTAAACTTTGATTTCGCTCAGACATTTATTTTAACAATTTTTTCGACTTTTCTACAGGGCAAGCCCTTTCATTTAACACCTACTTCCTTTTTGAAAATCGAACGAACGATACAGATTTTATGACTTGGTGTTAAATATTTAACGTAAACATCTGCGGAAGCGATTATTTGAATTTGACACCTCATTTTTTTTTAATTGAACGAACGATACAGATTTTATGACTTGGTGTTAAATATTTAACGCAACATCTCCGAACTCGATTAAGAAGTTTCAATTAAACAAATTTTTGGAAAATTCGAAAAAAAATTCGAATTACATCGAATTTGCACCACCAAATTTCGAATCGAATGGTTGGGGAATGTTCGAAATTCGGAAAAAATCGAATTTCAACCCTCCACTACCCATCCCTAGCAGGCAGCCGATGTAGTCGCCGTCACAACCGCCGCGACTGCTCTCATTGCCACGCTCTTCACTACGGCTGACGCGTACCACTGCCAATCTTGCTGTCACCAGTAGCACTCCCGTCGCCGTACAATTACCCGCCGAATAATCTCCGACACCGACCGCCGACTCTCTCTCTTTACCTTCCGCTCTCCCTTGCACGACAAGTTGCCGGCATTATAGATAGCCGAGTGTGTGTGTGGGTGTGTTCGACTTAATACACAAAACATTAGGGGTATTCTCCAAATCTTGCAAAGCCATTGCACGTAGCGCCGATTGCATGGATTGCATAACTTGCAAACACACAACAACAAAATTCATGGGAAACCACATTTCCTATTGCTACAAAATATGCAACGTCGAAACCCATGTATATATTTTGCAAAATAGCATAGCAAGATAAATGCGACCCTGTGCTAGTTATTTTGTTGTTGGAATTGCTACATATTTCTCTCATTCCTCTCATCTCGCTCACTTCATTTTCTTTTGCTGTCTCTTGTTATTGTATTTGATACATAACTTCGCTGCTTGCTACCCATGCATGCTACCACTTTGCAATGGGGTGCTCTCGTACTCTTCGTAATTTGGAATAGTATTTTTGCATTTCGTGCAATCCGTGCATCGTGCAAGACTTCGAGAATACCCCTATTGTGTTTTATTTGGTGGGGGTTAGTGGGACCTCCGCTGGACTCTGGAGCGGCTGAGCATACCTCAGCCTTCGACAAAACCCACCTCATAGTGCGGTATTTTTAATTGTCAGATATTGGGACCTGTGGAACTGCCGCCAATGCTCAACTCTCACAGTTATTTAGAGTTCCTTCAGGAACGGCTTGCAACTCTTTTAGAAGATGTACCCTTAAACCTGCGGCGAAGACTATGGTTGCAAAATGACGGGTGCCCAGCTCACTACGGGCGTGAAGTAAGAGCTCATTTAGACGAAACTTATCCTCGCCGATGGATTGGACGATATGGGCCAATCACGTGGCCCGCTCGATAGCCAGACCTGAATCCATTAGATTTTTTCTACTGGGGCTGTCTTAAGGACAAAGTCTATTCAAAAATAATTCAAAACGAAGAGCATTTGCGGGAACAAATATTGGAGCTGCTGCTGAGATAGCCCAATTGAGTCTTTTCTTAAAAGGTGCTGAGCTTGTATTAGAGTAGAAGGTCGCCAATTTGAGCATATTTTATCAATAAATGAATAAATTTTTCCTCAATCAACTCATGTATATTTTATTTCACGTGAACTCATCATTCACAAAAAATATTGATAGATATAGC